TTTGGAATGTTGTTTTACAGACATTTTCTAAACAACTGCATCTCTCGCGTACTTCGATTAAGAATTTTCATTAACAACAAGTATACAGGGTGGTCCGAATTGTATTCCGGAAACTTCGGCGGCATATTCTGCAGATAAAAATAAGTAAAAAACTTCGTATCAGTGTATGTTCTAAAGTGCTTAGTTTCAGAGATACAAGGTGTAGAAGTTTCATTTTTATTTCGATTTTTTCAAAATTTCTGAAGTAACGTCAATATTTGGATGAAAATTGGTGTCTAATAGTTTTTTGACACGAGAAATTTGATTTTTATGTCACTATGGCTCCTACTGGTAGAGGGCGCCACCTACATATGTTTTAACTGTTTTGAAGTGTAATAACTTTTTATCTGTACACTGTCTGTACCGTTTTGTCTTGTAAGCGTAGTTTTATACAGAATGCAACAATATACAGAAATATCTCTGCAACTTTTTACGCAAAAAATGTCTCTTTGTAAAAATCGCTACAAGCAACCGTTCTTAAGAGATTTGAATGGAAATAGTCAATACATCTCATTATTGACGAAAAATAACACGTTGAGTAGATAGTTATTTCAGCGAAATAATAAATTTGGGAAATTTTTATCATAAAGTTTTCTGCAAAAAAATGATGATAAAACAGTTTCTGTTAAATTTTTGGCACAAAAACTTTCAAATTTATGAGTCTCAGTCTAATAACTATTTAGTCAACATGTTTAATTTATGTCAATGATGACAGGTATTGATAATTTCTATTCCAAATATCTAGAAACCCAATACTTGTAGCGATTTTTACCAAGAGACATTTTTTACTTAGAAAAGGTCGTAAATGTATATTCTTTTATTCAGCAGTTTTATACAGGTACGGACGAAAAGTTATTACTCTTCAACCAGTTAAAAAATATGTAGGTGGCGCCCTCTACTAGTAGGAGTCATATTGACATCAAAATCAAATTTTTCATGTCAAAAAAGTCCCAGACACCGATTTTCATCCAAATATTGACGTTACTGCAGAAATTATTTGGAAAAAATCGAAATAAAAATGAAACTTCTACACCCGAAAAGAGTGCCCCACATTAGTTTTTTTAAATTTTCAGTTACTCAAATTACTTATTACACTACTGCCTTTATTTATTTTAACTTACTCATCATTTCGGTCAGATGTATCACTGACTGTTTTCAAGTGTAAACTACTAGCATTATACAGTTTGGCTAGGTATGATTAGTTTTTCCCTTTCTCAAGAATATCAACTAGAGAAGACAATATTTCTTTTAGTTTCTCATTATGTATCACAAATCAATGTAGTCCAAATTAACATAAAAAATAGTTCCTTTATTCCCACAATCGAAAATAAACAAATCTTAATACTTTGAGGAAAACTAAATGGAACTTTTGTATAAACTACACCAAACTTTCTACAATAAAATTAACTTAAATGAATGTAAGTACTAACGATAAACTACTAACTAAGTGGGTGGAAGTACTCCATGATAAGCTACGTAACATGTTTTGACTGAGAAATAATATATCAGAACATAAAACATAACAGAACATAACTTTAAAATTGTAGGATATTCGTTGCTTTTACCAATGTGAAATTAAAAAAAAAATTATTTAACTAACACAGTTTAATACAGGATCTCTTAAAAATACAACCAGCGAAAAAGTAAAATTATTTTTTTTAATATTCTGAACTTAACAGCCCATAAGGTTAATATAAAAGCTCGAGACGTATTTGATATTTTTTTAAAAACTCTTTTTGTGTCTAAAAATCTGTAGTTTAGCTGCAACTTAGTAGTTTTTTTTTAATTTCACATTGTAAAAGTAACGAATATCCTACAATTTTAAAGTTAATTTCAGTTTTGTTAGCATATCTCTTAAGAAAGGTAGAAAAAATACAAGTTAGAGTAAAAATTGATTATCTTTTATTCCAGATGACTTATCGTAAAAATTCCAAATACGTCCCGAGATATTAGTCTTAGCTATACCCAGAACTTATAATTCTAGTTAAATTTTGTTTTTTGGCAAAATGGCAGCAACACAAAAATTACATTCCTTTTTTTCACACCCTGTATATCATAGAAAACTAAATCTCATACAAAATTTAGAAAAATCAGATCAATTTACGAAAACCGATCTTTAATATGCTAAAAAAAATCAATAAAATTGGTCCATTTTTTTCAAAGTTACAACTTGTTGAAAAAGAGTAAAAAAATCGCTGTGGTATTTAATTTGACGGGCAGTTCAATTAGTAGATTCAACGTTCAAGCAAAAAAATTTTTTTTGAAAATCTTCAAAGTAAAATAGCTTTAAAAAATGTCTATACCGTGGCGGAATCATCTCTCCAAAAAATCCTATATGGGTATTTCGCCACTGCATGAAAATCTACAAAATAAAATAGTTATTTTTTTGTAAACACTTCTGCGTTATTCCCAAACTTGTCAGAAGTTAGGTAGAAAAATAGTACTTGTCAGAAGTTAAGTTTACGATATACAAATTTGCCTAACGCACACAAAAATGCTTAACGTTTCGGAAAGTTTGTCTCTTTCCGTCGTCGGAAGCAAAAAAATAGGAATAATAAAGAAAAAAAACTATTTAAAATACTTAAATTCAACTATTCGAGAACACTTTAGTTTTTTAAAACAGATACGTCTACAAAAACCGTTGCATTGGAAAACACGAACAATTGGAGAGTTTATTTTGAGCCAAAACAAAGATAACTTTTTTTACTAACGAAGCATTAAAATATTAATGGCTCGGAAAACCTTTCTAAAGAAATCCAAATCATGAAATCCTTGTAGCACAATCTCAAAGGTGAATGGATTCTTCACGTTTAGTACCAACTTTAAACAAAATAAGTTAGCGGCTAATATTTATATTCTAATAGGTATGGAACCATATCAGTATAAATACTTTTCCCGAATCTTTTTTTTATTTAAAAACTATAACTTCGGTATTCTTCTTAAATGAAATAATCTATAATACATACTAAAAAATCCACCACCAAATATATTTTATTTTCCACATGCCAGTATTCAGCATTTTGAAAGCTAGGGAAACCTGCAATCTAAATGCAAGTAATGTTGTTTCAAGGCATATAAATCTGCATACCGTGCACGAATAATGATTTGTTCATAGTCAATATTAATAAAGCAAATTTAGAACGACCTTAATATTCACACTGAGGAAAAATAGTTAATTCAAACATCGAATCTATTAAAGTTTTCAAAAATCGATACTCAGTTGCTCTATAAAAAATAATTAAAATTAAAAAAGTTACTTTCTTTTACATATTTTATATATTTTGTAACGTAGTATATCTAAGTGGTACAAGTGACACATATTCGGATTATTAGAAATTGTTAACAAGGATTTTTAATTTTTAAATGCGATATACTAGTACGATAAGAAAAAGTACGATAGGAAAAATTATACGATACTAAGTACTAGTACGACTAGTACGATAAGAAAAATTATTATACCTTACCAAAGTTATTAAATAATAATTTTTCTGTGACATAATTATTTTAGTAACTAATAATTAATTATTCAACATTTCGGAAGTTTCCTAAAGCTGGAGTAGATATAGTTCGGCGGGAATATAATTTTGGCCTGAAAGTTTCTCAACCATTCCGATTTCGAACAGCACGCGGCACGAATGGAGAATTATGTGAATGGAAACAGGATTTTTGTCTACTTTGCAAAATTTATAATGTATTTGAGAAGAAATTTGTACAATGTTAAAAATAGGAAAAATTTAGGGCACTTTTTTTTATTAAGTAATTCTAGATAAAACTTTGAGCAATTTTACTTGACTTAAATTGCATATAAATATGTCAGAGATTAACGTATAGAGATCGGAGAGTAACGCTTTCTTTAAAATGAGATGGCGTATATAAGACCTCGCTCCGTCTACATATTCTTGTTTATTTATAATTTTAGGTAGATACATAAAACCAATCAAGCATAATAATAAATTACACAAATCTAGAGTAGTACGAAGAGAGAAATAGAAGGAAAGGGGCCATTATTTCTGTTCAGTGTTCTTACATTACGGCGAAGAGTACGAGAAGGCATCAATAAAAATGATGAACATGTACATAAGACGATAAGCTCGAAGCTCGATGAGCAAAAAATCCTCGAAAATATCCAACTAGCATTAAATACCACTGAAGAATTTGAAGAACATAGATCTTCTTCTTCTTAAGGTGCCAACTTCTTGCGAAGGTTGGCGACCATCATGACTAATTTTATTTTGTTGACTGCTGCCCTGAACAGGTCGTTTGATGTACAGTTGAACCATTCTCTGAGATTTCGAAGCCACGACATCCGTCTTCTTCCTATGCTTCTCTTCCCTATTATTTTACCCTGGATAATTAATTGTAGAAGTTTGTATCTTGTACCTCTCATTACGTGGCCCATATATTGGAGTTTTCTTATTTTCACCTCTTGGGACAATTCTAGATCTTTTGAGACTCTTCGTAAGTCTTCTTCATTGGTAATTCTGTCAACGTATGATATCCGGAGTACACTTCTATAAAGCCACATCTCGAAGGCATCTATCTTTTTAAGCATTTGTTTTGTTAGAGTGGCAGCTTCTATACCATAGAGCATTATTGTAAATATGTAGCATCTTAGCATTCGTATTTTAAGGTGGTTACTTGTTTTGCAATAAAAGAATTGTTTCATTTTAATAAAGGTGCTATTTCAATTCTCGTTTTTAATTCTGATGAGTAATCATTGTCGTCGTTGATCAGGGTTCCTAGATATTTATATTTATAGACTCGCTCTATTATCTGATGGTTTACGATCAGTTGAATATTTTGATTTGGTGTTTTGGTAAATATCATGCATTCTGTTTTATTAAGGTTCATATTCAAGCCATAATAGATACTTGTTTCATACACTTTTTGGACCATTCGTTGCAGGGCCTGTATACTTTCTGCTAACTTCTTGATGTTTGCTGTTTGGTCGTAATATAGGTTTACAATAATTCTGGCATCTGTGTTACTAATTGCTTTTCTCTCAGAATTTTGATAAGTTGTTCATGACGGACTCTGTCAAATGCTTTCTCGTAGTCCACAAAGCAGGCGTACACATCCTTGTTAACATCCAAACAGCGCTGAGTCAACACGTTTATACTTAAATAATGCTCGTGCCAACTCCATTGCGGAACCCGAACTGTGTATCGCTGATGTCGTTATATGAGATCTTTACATAATCATGCTGGCTTTAGAATACAATGAAGGTCGACACCAACCTTTTTTTTTGGTATACCAAACCAGTCTTTTGGTATCGTTCCTGATCTGTAGATCGCATTGAAGAGCTCAGCAAGTGCATCCAAGCTATGTTCCTTAAGCAGTTTTATCATTTCAATGGGTAGTTCGTCTGGGCCAGGTGCTTTCCCGTTCTTCATGTTCTTCAGCGCATATTCTATTTCATCTGTTGTTATTTCTGGTCCGGTTTCTATATCATTTTCTGGGGATAAAGGTCAATTTCGGTCATCTTCGAACAGCGTTTCGATATATGTTTTCCATGTCTTAAGCTTTGATGTCAGCTCCATCAAATCAGCTCCATCAAGTCAGCTCCCATCATCGTCCACCAGTTGTGTTCCTCTTTTTATAATTTCCAGTGATCTCCTTAACCTTTTTATGTATATTAAAGGAGTCATGTACTTTTTGCAGTTGTTCAATTTCGGTACATTTTTCATTCAACCAGTGTTCTTTTGTCTCTTTTACTTTCTTTTGTATTTCCCGATGTATACTTTTGTATCTGTTATTTTCAGTGGTTTTAGCCTCTCTTCTTAATCTCATTAATTCGATAATTTCATCGGTCATCCATTCGTTTTTCTTTTTCTCATTCTTACAGCCCAACTCTTTGTTTCCTATTTCAAGAATTGTGTCTTTAATTTTCTCCCATTCGATGTTTATGTCTCCCTTATCTCTACTGTGTGATGTTTGCAACTCTTCTATAAGTCATTTTTCAACCCTTGATCTAGTTTCGCTGTTTCTTAATCTTGTGACGTCCATTGGTACTCTTCTTGGACTGTTTGATACGTTTTAAAGTTAGTTTGAATGTTGCAACTACAGGGTTATGATCCGATGTGATGTCTGCCCCTGGGTATGTCTTGGCTGAGAGTATGCTATTTCTGTATCGTTTATTAATCATGACATAGTCGATCTGGTTTCTTACTATTTTATATTTTGTGTCCTGTGGTGATCTCCACGTGTATAATCTTCTTGGTGGTAGTTTGAATAAGATGTCAAGGTGTCAAATAAGGTGTCATTACTATATCTTTCTCTTGGACAAATTCAACCAGCCTCTCTCCTCTCTCGTTACGCTGTCCTAGTCCGTGCTCTCCAATGACATCCACAACTCTTCCTCTACCGATTTTGGTATTGAAATCTCCCATTACAATTGTCACTTCGTGTTTCTTAGAACATAGATATTGAGCCACTATACCGTCTGCGTCTCAAAAGTGGCTCACCCCTATAAATTATTTATTTTTCAGATAAAATAACAATATTTGGTATGTTGAGTATATGACATAATTAGATTTGATTGTCGTATTAAATTGTTTTCGGCCACTTCCTGTTTTACCGGAAATCACTACTTACTAACTTTTGATTTTTAAATGTCACCTTCAGTATTTTTTTCTTCATTCGATGTAAAATGACACTGATTAGAATGACATATCACATGTCAACTTTTGACATTCTTGTTTAAAAAATCTTATTTTAAATGTCAATCTAGAGTGTGGTATCACTAGGATGTGTTAAAAACAGTAATTTTTAATCAAGAAGCCTTAGAAAAATATATTTGATCGTCCAATGTTTTTCGAGACTTGTCCTGGATGGTTAAAAGATCGTATTTTTAATCATATCTCAATTTTTTTCAAATGGAAAGACGGTTAGGTTTTTTCATTTTATTTTTATTTTCACCGGACACCTGGACATTTTCATCTTGACACCGGTGTTTATCTCAACACCGGTATCGCGATGAACACCGGTGTCGAGATCAACACCGGTGTCGCTGTGTCGCTGTCGACGTCGATGGTGCCGTTTGTTTTTTTTTAGTTTTTTTTAATGTAATATTTTTAGTTTATATTTTTATTTTACAGCTACGAATTTTTGTTTCTTTATGTTTTGTTTTTGATTAAACAATTTTTTACTTATAGTTGTTTATCTGACGCTTCCCTTTATTTTAGTGATTAGTCTGGTAAAAAAAATATTTTTAAATTTGAAAGCTTTAAGTTAAAGTCGGTGTGCTTTAATAAACGATAAAAATAGGCACCGACACGATATTATTAGTATCAGGTTTATTTTGGACTAATTAATTAACATTATTTCTTCTTTAACCCCTTTACCAAACATCGGTGTCGATATGAAAACCGGTGTCATAGTCAAAACCGGTATCGAGATGAACACCGGTGTCCAGACCAATACCGGTGTCGAGATGAACAGCGGTGTTGTAGATGAACACTGGTATCGAAATGAACACCGGTGTCAGTACCAACACCTGAACACCGGCCGCGGCCTAGCCCATATTTGGCCACCGGTGTCAGCCCAACACTGGTGTTAAAAGGGTGTTCCGGTGTTTGGAACAGGCCTAGCCATGAGTGCTGTTCTCTTCTCCTACATTTTGCCCTGCAGGACCAGTTTTGGAATGGTGTAGCGAGTTTCTCTCAAAATGTGATCGGTACATCATATCTTAAATAGTCTGCGGAAAATCCACATCTCAAACGTTTCGCTTCGATCCATAATCGACAATTAATAATCTATGTATTTTAACTAGAAACCAAATCATATAAAAATACTATTTTTCGACGTGTTGATTTAAATTCTCAAAATTGACGAAAATTAATAGACTTGTTGAAGTTTAAACAATATTAGAACACAAAAACAAAATTGTTATCTCACATAGCTTTTGAACTACTAATTACAAACGTTGGAAATAACTTATTAAACTCCGCGTTAAATTTAATAACAATCAAATTATAACACGGGCGAAGTGTTAAACTTGCAACGTGCAACCAGTTAAACTTATTAAAGGTTGAAACTTTTCAAATCTGAACCACATACGAAATTAGTACCAACATACATAAAAGCTTCTAAACTAAGTATCACTAACAAACTAAGTACTTACTGTCGGAAGTTTTACTAAATTGTTTGCTTACATTTATATAATTAATTTCTGGCTAAATTATTACAAAATTAAGTTAGGTTTACTATTTATATTATGTATACTGACCTTTTACGTATTATGACATACACAATTTAGAAAAAATATATAAACAAGGGGACATGTGTAGTAAATTAATTGGCAGGTCCAAACAACGTTATATCATTTAAATTTTTAATCACTCGATAATTAGCTACCTCAACTTATTCTTACTGGGTGACCCATTACTGCGAGGAAGTCCAATATCGCCGTTGCTGACAAAGATATGACAAAAAGTTTAATATAAATGTTGTATATTACGATATAATGGTGGATATTCAAAAATTATTTTGTTGTATACAAGTTGTCCAAAAAAAAGTAATTGTAAAATTGTCAACTGGACTGGACCAAGAAAGGATTAAAAATAGATGGAGAACATCTTAACCATCTAATATTCGCTGATGACATAGTCCTAATTGCCAATAGTCCTGAATAAATACAAGTACAAATGAATGAAATAAATACAGCCAGCAATAAAGTGGGTTTCAAAATGAATTTAGCAAAAACTAAACTAATGAACAACGAACTAGTGGATAGAAAATATATTCTAATAATAAATAACACAACACTGGAAATAGTAGAAGAATATATATATTTGGGACAACTAATACACAGCTCAGGATCTCTACTATCAGAAATCAACAGAAGAATTAGCATAGAATACCTACTTATAAAATAAACTCAATCATAGTCAAATCTAGAATGTTACGCTATCTAAAGAAGAGAACGTTCGACCAATGTGTACTACCAGTCATGACCTAATGCATGCGGAACCTGGACACTTAAAAAGGACATCATAAGGAAACTACAAATCGCACAAAATTCAGTGGAACGAAATATGCTGGGAATAACCAAGAGAGGTCATAAAAGAGTGGAGTGGATACGACAAAAGGACCCAGGTAATAGATGTCATCCACAGAGTCAAATCCCTCAAATGGCACCTGGCAAGAAGAATGAATAACAGATGGACCACAAAAATTACAGCATGGTATCCACGGGGAATTAAGAGACCTAGAAGAAGACCAAACCTGAGATGGGACCATGATATTAGAAAATTAACTTGGGCCCGTGTATCCAACAATAAACAGCAATGGGCCCAACTGTAAAGAGAGTCTACCGCATATAGGAGACTACACCATAATAGGAAATGGTTGAATAAGCTGAAAATGATGATGATGAAAACTGTATCATATCTGATGAGAGAGCAATTTTTTGAAATTAATTTAAAGGTACAATTAAATACAATAATAATTGAATATTTACAAAGAAGTTTTTACAAAGTTTTTGCATTGCAAAACTGTTATGGCTATCTTTTGCTAAAATAACATTAAACCAGATATAAAATAAAGTTAATGCAATCAGAATTTTAATAAAAAAATTTGTTAGTAGAAACTGGAGATAACCAACAATGTCTGATGAAATATTTGATTATCCATCAAATGAAAAGAAATATGTAAGATAAAATGTATTATTCAAATTTAATTAAGAATATTGTTAGTTAATTATTACATCGTTTTTGTATATCCAGAAATTTCATGAAAAAAACTAAAAAAATTAATGATTTATTTGTAAATGGGCATAGTTCTGCTGTTATCCATTAGGCGTTTTTGTGTTGGATGGCTAAAGATACGCCATCATTTATCTTCGAAGACTATCCAAGCGGAACAAAAGTATAAAACCGTTTGTAAACTCCATTACAATAACAAGGTAGACCGATAATGAAGCTACTGAAATCGAAAATAAGGAAAGTTAGTCAGCAACTAATCATTTTGGCTCCTGATATTTAAAAAATAAAATTTCAAAAAGTACATAATTTTTTTTTATAACCTATTAGAGTTAAGAAAATTCCAACAAATAATAATCCATAAATTAAACGTTTTTAACGATTAATCGACCTACTAATCAACATAAATTAATGTTTTAATATGAAATTAAATGATTTTCTCTCTTATGTTCTTTTCATGTTCTATAATTACCATTGTGTTAGTATAGTAATTCTTTAAAATAGTTAATATGCTAATACTATAATATGATGTACAGGGTGGGCCAAATTGGACACTTTTAAAGAGAAACACCCTTTTCTATAAGAGATAGACGAAAACTAATATAGCTATCTGAGCTCAATTTTTACCAAAAATATGATGGTAAAAACCGCATATCGGTATCTGTTATCGTTTCGGAGTTACTGGATGTTTTCTAAATGTGCATTTTTAACAAATCGCTGTAACTTTATGCTTTGGAAAATTTTGTATTCTTAGTCGTATTTTTATGAAAATATTTCCAGTAATTTTTTTTCAGTAAAGTACCTTTTTACGTCGAATTTAATGATTTAAGTATATTTTTTTTTAAATTAATAATTTAAGAGTTATGAACAGAAAATGTGCTTCATTCATTGGGATAATGAACGCGTTCTTTATATTAATAATTTCCAATTTGGTAAGTTGACTGTTTTGAGTAGATACCTTTTTCTTGCCTGTTTTTTTTATTATTTTGTATCTAATGGCAACTTTGTTCCTATTTTGGTTAGGCTCAGAATTCCAGTAAGGTTCTTCTAGACAAGAAGAGATGCCAATGAGTATCTTACATACTTAGGTTTTGTTTTGTGAGTTTTCATTAACCTCTATAATAAATATTATAATTATAAACACGTGTTTTATTATTTTTTTTAATATTTACTAACGCTTTGTGAATATACAAAAGTAATTGTAAATTCACTATAATAAAATGTTTAGATTTGTTGTTACTCTATAGTAATAGTACAAGAAGTTGGAGATTTTAAAAGATAAATTTACAATGAATAAGTAAATTTACTATGAGATACACATTTTTTAAATAAATTCACAAACAATACTGGTGAATATATAAAGGTATATTATAACATATTTACATACATGCCACAAATTAGCCATACAGCGATTTTACAAACGACTAATAAAACTAAAGAATGGATGGTAAATTTACTACAATAATATGTGGCAAGAAATAACCATCAATATTGTTATTAAATTCACAAATTAATTTTTTCAGCGTATGGTATAGACCGTTACCCAGTGTTGCCACCAGCTTATTTTTCATCGGGGTAGATTATCACGAGATAGCGAGGTTAGGTTATTTTACAAAGGGGTAGATCTATCCCGAATGGAGTAGCTCTAGCAAACACTGTCGCTATCACTTTTCATCTCAGTAGCTGGC